CCCTGGACGCTCTGGACCCCATAGACCCCATGGCCGGGCTCAAGCGCGCGAAGCGCATCGCGACGCACACCTCGTTCTTCAAGGCTGGATTCTGCCTCGGCCGCGTCCTCGTGTGCATTGTCAAGTCGACGCAGCTGTCTAGTACGTTCAAGGCGCTCGAGCCGATCGAGCAGAATGTGCGTGGGCGTGCCAAGCCCACGTTCAAGAAGCTGTTGCAGGGCGGGAACGACACGCTCAAGCCGTTCAGAGTACGTCGTTGTTACAAGTTGTATTTCTGGGCGGGCACTGAGATGGTGTATAGGAATTCTACATCCCGGTCGAGTCGACGTCAATACACTACCTCAAGACGCGGATGTGCATCGGGTGCTCGAAGGGGTTCGAGATCGTCGATCTAGAGTCGCTGGAGACGCAGGGCCTGCTCGACCCCGCGGACGAGTCGCTCGAGTTTGTCCGGAAGCGGGAGAATCTGCGGCCGATGGCGATTTATCGCATAAACAACGACTTTTTGCTCTGTTATGACGGTGCGTTGCGTTCGCGTCGGCGTGTGGGCTCTGGCTTATGGTTACGGTTAGAATTTGCGTTTTACGTCAACAAAACGGGACGACGATCGCGCAAAGAGTTCATGGTGTTCTGGGAGGGAACGCCTACTGGCTTTGGTATGCATCTCTCTGTTTCACCTTTGGCGTGCGCTCTGGACTGAATGACCGGGGTAGCACTGCACGAGCCATACGTGCTCGCTTTTGAGCCCTCATTTGTCGAGATCCGGCATATTGAGACGGGGCTCATGTCGCAGGTGATCCAAGGCTCCAATCTGCGGCTCCTGTTCGCGGACACACCGCCGTCTGTGAACAACAGCGGCGGGGGTTACACGTATCAGGGCGGGTACGACCCATATAGCCCACCGAACTCGGCTGGCAGCCGCGCGTCGGCGTTCAGCGGGTACGGGCTCCCACCGCACATGCAGCAGTACCCGCAGCAGCAGGCACATCGATACCCGCAAGGCGTCGGGCGCGACGAGATCCTGATGGTCTCTGACGACCGCGTCCTCGCACTCCGAACAGCGGCGGGCCCGCAGCGCTTCATGTCCGACAACGTCTCGATGACCTCAATGCCGCGGTAGCGGTAGCGGTGGCCTGGGTTCGACTCTCCTCGGTTTCTGGTGTATTACTCGTCCCTCCGTTTCTTTTTATAATCTCTTTTTCCATACTACGTACATACTGATCATCTGTTTCGTTCATTGTCACTTGTGCGCCCCGCCCTGTCTCTGTCTGTCTCATGTCTCATTATAGTGTGTTTGTTGCTTTTAGCCCTCACGTTAGTATACATATACTATATATATATCACTTGCATTTTTGTAACTGTTTTTGCAATACGCGGATTTCGGCTTTTTCAGAATCCTCTGGGAAGGGTCAATGTGCGGATGATTTGCGATCAGTACTGCCACTGATGCGTCGGTTGCCCACGTGGAATCAAGGTTTTGATGCGCGGATCTGTGCCTGGTCAACTCTCAATCTTGCCAAGACCTTGCAAGATGGCAGTGAAGAAACGTGGTGGTCGCTTTGAATGCTAAACTTATCTCTTGCGCCCCTTCCAAGTTCCGCGAGGACTGACGCGTTGAGGACCACAACGCTGCGAGTCGCATCCAGGGCTACGTAGATGACTTCAAGACGAACACATTGGCTCAGTAAACACAATACAATATCTACCTGTGTCAAATACAAACGTTGCGGACTCTGACCACAACGCATGAGGCGTGCACGATGCACGAAGCCGCACACACCACACGCTGCTTGCGTTTGGTGGTCACATATTTGTCTACTCTCTTTTCTTGCACCCGACCGAACGAACGACGAACCAACCGTACTGACACCTATTGACGCATGATGAGTTTTTCTTCTGGAGGGCTAGCAGGAGGGACGGGTGGGATAACGTGAGTTTAAATTTCTCCAATTCGTGCTTTCCTTTTATTTCTCCCTCCTCATCCCTTGTATCTCCCTCTTTTTCTCCGATAAATTTCTATCCGTCTGCATCCATACCGACCGCTAACATGGATTTCCTATCTTGCGCAGGGATGAAAACAGTGCTGAGCATGTGCAGGTACATGTGCATGTCCTCGACCGTGACGACGACCCATTTTCCATTTCCTCTGCGGCCGCCACGGAGCAGGCGGCGGCGCCGAGCGTGCATAAGTGCCGCGCTTCAACACTATTCTCGCGCATGGTGGCGGCGCTACAGCGCTTTGTATTACGACTCCGAGTCGCTTGGCCACGGACGCGGACTTCTGGCATGCCCCCCGCGCCCTCTGCCCTTGACAAACCCGAAGCCAAACAACCGCTCCTACATACAAACCCCGCGCTGCTCTCCCTTGTGGCGGCGACTTTTCAGGAGCAGATACAAACACGTGTACCCCACGGGCGGATGCCCATGCACCTCGCCGCACCGGCGTTCGACGGACGCACGGCGATTGACCTCATCGCGCGCATCATTAAACAACCGGATCGTGGCCTCGCACTCCGCGTCGCGCAGGCGCTCGACGCGCAAGGTTTTTTCAAGGCTGTCGATGGTGCGGGTGGGAGTACGGATGAGTTTAGGGATGATGAGGTGGAGGTATATCGGGTGAGGATGCGTACGGAGATGTGGACGGGGATGGGGCCAGCACCGGGGACTGGCGGGGACGGTGAGTTGAATAGCGGCGTTCCCGCCCCCGCCGCCACGGGCGGGGTGATTTCCGCGGATTCGTTTGGATTTAACGCAGCGGGGGTGGATGCAGAGAAAGAGATCGATGTGCCACAACCGACGGGCGTGTTTACGCTGCTGACGGACTGCTACAGCCCGACGTGTGGCCGCATTGGCCAGGACCAACGATGGCCATGCTATAGTGTTTCGTGCCCACGGCGGCGGCTGAACGCGGTCGCCTGAAGACGAACCCTTGGAGAGATTTTGCCATGGAAGAGGTATTCGGAATGGGTTAGGAGCTCGAGGAGACGTTTAATTGTATTTTACGTGTGGCTATAATACCATGGAACTTGAATGCATATATATATATGGATGCGTACTGTACGTATAAAGGTCGTTCGATCTCGACCAAACCGTATCGACGGCACGAAAGACTTTCGGGATGTCGTTTACTGTATCGCTGTCTAATCCTCTCTTGAGTCTATTTTCCTCGGGCATCTCGGGCATGTTGATTTTCTCAATTCCGACACTATTAGACTTTCTCCGCAACCGCGCCCTACACTTGCAGCAGCTCATCCCACGCCTGCTCTTGCGCGGACTCCGTCGGGGCTTCCATGTAGCTAAGTACCGCCATCTCAATATTCAGCCGGAAAAATAAGAGAGAGAAAGACCTCAAAAATGCATTAAGGGGAATCGAACCCCCGGCGGGTCGAACCCGCAAATTACGAATCTCGTGGCAACGACCCACCCCCACGCTGTCGCTGTCGCCGTCGCCTCAAGAGTCAATACAAAAGTCTGAGACCCACCCTCTTCCCCTTGCTCTGAATCCTCTTATCTTTTATTCGACCTTCCAAGTTCAATTAACAACATGTGTCGTCGTCATACACTCGTCATCATCATCTGATCCCGCAGATCAGATAAAATCCAACAAGTGTTCAAATCGCCAAGGTGCCATCCTTGCATACGCCGCGCACTCTACAAACATGGATGGCGTCACAGCGCCCACCGCTCAACCAGTGCGTTCAGGACCGCGAGGTAGATCAACAACAACGTCGACTCGACCCCCCAGGCCTCAGGCCTCAGCCTGTGTGCGCTCAACCGTGCCGGCGACGAGTTCAGAACGACTCGAGCACACTAGGAATAGCACCGTGAATGACCTCTGAACTCCCTTAGACTTCCGCGTCCGCCATATCTCCCCTGCTGTCGTTCACTCAGGATAGTACTCTCCTGTTTAGTACAAGCCATCCCTCCCGCGTCCCACATCTCCTCCTCCGTCTTCCTTTCCATGTCCATCCGACTCTCGCGCGCACGAGGTAAACCGACACCAACGCCGACTCGAACCCCCGCCTCAGACCTCAGGCTGCACGCGCCCCGCCGTGCCGGCGAACAGCCCAAAACGCACACTAGCAGTCGTATCGCGAATGAACCTCGAATTCGAAACCACCCCCAAAAGGAATCGAACTCGAATCCCGAACCTCATTCCGTACTCTCCTGCTCTGCTACAAGGTACATGTACCCCTCTCTGTCTTTCCTTTCCATGCGCATTCGCGTCTTAGGACATACATAGAATAATGATATGCATTTTTATTCGGCCTACCGCTCGCGCCAAAGATCTAAGATCCTTGAGCCGATTTCCACATGCATCCACGGTACTACACCTCTGACAGTGCACCTCGACGCGGTATCGCTCATCTTTCAAGTTCCCCTCCCCAAAAAAATTGGGACACTGTATCTATTCATCAGCCAATACCAACCAACCTCCCTACCCCTACCCACTTTCGGGTCAAATCAGCGAGGCATAGCACGCACAAGCTTAAAAAATGAAACGCAAGATTTATTTAATGACACTGCCAAATCCAATGTCCCACCCCCGGGCCCCGGGACGTCAACATCTTTTCACCTGCTCCACGTAAAATCTTGAAGTCTAAGATAACTAAGCATATTAAATAGATGCTATAATGGGCAAGGAACGAGCCGGTTCCATCACAGCGTCTGTCTAGAGACGAATAAAACTATTTTTTTTTGCCCGGTGCGCAATCTCGACAGTTATGGGCCGTCAGTGGTTCTGTCATTGGGGACTGTGATAATATTGTACGCATGCGCAAGTCCAAAAATCAGTCCGAACAAAACTCCAGTCTGAGGCTCATTAACTTACACGAAAGAATTTTAGGGCCAACAGGTACTGTAAACATCGTTCCTTTCTGCGCTGTCGCCCTCCTCCCTGCATTCGTCGCGGAACTCGGAGAAGCATGCCATGTATCTTCCAAGTATCTTGATCCTGACGTTCAGCCGCTAAGAAAAAAAAAAAGGAGAGAAATCAAAAATGCATTAAGGGGGAATCGAACCCCCGGCGGGTCGAACTACGAAGATTATGTCAACGAAAGTCCAAATCACGTGGCAACGACCCAGGTTACCACTACCCCATTAATGCGATGTAACAAGGAGAGGGATAGTGGTAATGATAGGAAAGAAGAAAGAGAAATGAAAAAATGCACCCAGTCCACAAATCCAACGATCTCCTCGAGTGATGTTGCAGTAGCGATAGGAGAGAAAAAGAGAAAAAATGCATTAAGTCCACAAATTCAACAATCTCAGTAACCTCGAGTGATGTTGTAGCGAGAGCAGGAGAAACGAAAAAAAAATGCACTGAGTCCAAAAATTCAACCATCTCAGAGCCCTCCGAGTCAAAAGTCAAAGAGGATTCAGGATATCCTCAGACTGGCTAGAAACGAGCCAGGATGCCATTACCTCATTAAGGCACTGTTGGAACTGTGCGTTGAAGTGGTCAGCGTGAGCAAAAGAGAGGCTGTGGGGCCGGAATTCAATGGTTCAAAATTCGATAGCCTGAATTCGGTGGTTGAACCTACCGTAAAATTCGCGCCCGCAACGACCCAGGTTACCACTACCTCATTAATGCTGTTATAGCATTTGGTAGCCCGGACAGTAATGATAGGAAAGAAGAGGAGAAAATGCACCAAGTCCAAAATTCAACTTCAAGTGGTATATAAACTCCTGTTGCATGTCTCATCCGACTTGTTAAACAGTGATAAAGACTGGGCATAAGTTATTGTATGGTACTGGGACCGGATGCAATGGAAAGAGTTTGATGGGAGCGAACAATGTTGTGTCCGGATCGAATTTGACTCAAGGGGGGCGGGGGGGATCCAGGCCCCATGGCCAGAACAAATCGCAAAAATCTTTGATGAGACAGACGGCCGTCCGTTGGAAATTCTAGACTGAAAAGTGAGATTTGATTTCTGTATGTAGATGTATTATTTAGTCAGTAGAAGGAAGTCTAGAAATCGCGTTCTCCATTCAGGCGGATCTAACACAGTGACAGAGGGAGGAAGGGCGTAAAGGCTCCCCTATGGCCCTCTTTATGCAATGCCGCGGTTGAAATTCTTGTGGCACGTCTCGTCCAATTTCCTAGACAGTGATTTCTGTTGCTCAAGATTCGTACAGTACTCGGACTGCAATGCAGTGGAAAGAGTGTGATGGGAGCGAAATACCAATGTTGTACTTGTATCCCGATTAAATCCGACCCGTCGGACGTCCAATAGTAAAGCGGGATCCAAGCCCATGGCCAAATCACGCAGAGCAATCACGGAAATCTTTGATGAGACGGACAGCCGTCCGGTTGGAAAATCCGGGACTGAAAAGTGAACTTTGGTTTCTGTATGTGGATGCGGATGGAGAGTCTAAGCCAAGTATACATGCGATAGAGTGATACGAGAGCGAGTGCAACCGAGTATGAGAGAGAGAGAGACAAGTGAAGCGATGTGACGAAGTGAAGTACGACTCGGAGCGAATTGCAAGAGTATGAGACACAGAGAGAGAAGTGAAGAGCTTGTTGGACCACACTAGGGATACGTACGAGCGATCCTTGAAGAGACTACGCCAGGCTTGGGGATGCCGCTTCCTGCTTATTGAAGTTATTCCGAATTCTCTTCAAGGTCCCCAGGGGATCGATTAAAAAGTCTCCCATATCCTTCCCGAAAGATTTGTGAGCTTTACAGTATTCCTTCCACGTCGTAAACTTACCGGATGATTCAATGACAACCTCCACAGCGCTGGTAACAACACCGCTTTCAGTGATATCTCCTGCCAAATTTCGCTGATGTTGCGCCTCGATTGCGAGCTAGAGATTCACAGCATGAGTAAGATATCTCGACTACAGCTTGAAAGGGTTTCACAAGTGCCGACGTCTGGATCTTGTGCACCTGACGCTCGCATTTGTCGAGGTCTTGCATGATAGCACGTATCTCCTCGAGATACATTCTCCATGTCTTGCTGGGCAGCTTCAGCAGTCGGGACTTGATCTTGGATGCCGATAACTTCGCCCTAGGATGTCTCGTCAATCGATTTGACTTGAACTGGTGAGTCGTGCGCATACTGAAGCAACTGTCCCCACCACTTAATGAGATCAGCATGGTCGCGCACGCACTGAGATCGTGCAAGGACCAAGGTTTCGGTCGTCTCAGCGGCTAGATTGTTCAGACGGCCAAGGCGGATCGACAGACGGTTGCGATGGGCGACATAGACTGCGAGCGAAGTGCAGCCCACTGCCAGGACAAGATACTGGTGAACAGTGCTTGGGACGAGGGAGAGTATGGCGGCTGAGACGAGGATGAATGAAGACTGTAGTGGTGTTTGGTGGTCCATTCACAGAGATTTGTAAGGAAAAGCATGGTGAGGGCCATAGTGCCTTTAAACTGGGGGGTAGGTCGAAATGAACTCCGACTCGCTTTTATGCTGCTTACAATGTTGCTCTTCCCTCTTTGAGAAGGGATAGCTGTCTTACACCTTAAGCTGTAACTCTTCGACATGGAGGCAGTATCATGTTGACGGCGGAGCTGCGCGGAACAGTCTAGAAGTCAGACGGCCATGTCTGCAGCAGTCTTCTGAACACAATGGCGCTGTAAAAACGTTTAGCAGGTCACTGCATTATTGAAGAGCTGTGAAAAGTTGGCTTGAAGCTGTGTAAAAGCTATATTTTCAGCTGGGATGTACAGGATGAAGGAAGTGCGAATCATTTGAGTGCAAGATAAGCAAGGCAGGATCGAATGGTGTAAAGCTGCACGGGGAAAGTTACTGATACTTATCTGCCTTGCAGTCGTCGCAACATTGACTAGTCGCCGTCGGGGGTTGGCGGGCGTAAGGATGCAAAGCTTTCGTAAGGTGTATATTTGGTAATTTAAGAATGCATCCTGTTAGATGGCACATGCCGTATGAACATACTAGCTGCGAAGATCCGAGTTCCTGCGTTGTAAAAATCGCACGCACTAATGTCAATTTTTGAGTTGAAATCGATGGTGGACAGGTCTGCGTGAATTTTTCAAGACGAAATGATCACATTAGAAGGAGTTTTTCACACGTAGTAATCAAGGAGAAAAGCGCGCCGTCGGAAGCCGTCAACAAAAAGCCGGGAGAAAGCAGGATCCTGGGAACAAAAAATGAGACTGTAGAATAGTAGTTCCGCGATCTGTCGAGGAGGAACGTCGTTTGAGTTGGGCGTCCGTTTCGAAATTGGAACACAACCGTGGAAAAGGATTATGCAATCAAATCACGTGATATGATTATTTATTTTGTTCTATTTCTGAACCCGTCGTCTTGCCGTGGGGTCGTCCGCATTTCTTTCCTCGATTCATCCATCATCTAGAGCGAACATTATGTGCTGGTTAGCTGTTGTGCGCCACGTGAATGTCCGACTCTTTACGCTTGAGTTCACACCATAGAATCGATATAATCAAAATGGAGTGCACGCTTCTGAGTAGCTCAGTGCCTATCCGCCAAAGAGACTATGCACATGTGCCGCATCTACTCAAAAAAATAGAATCAACTCGTCGGCTACATGCGGGAAAGAAATTCATACCTCCTACTACAATCCCGCCGAAACTCGTCGACCATATGGATTTTGGCCTAGAAAAAGATACTTGAAAAGTCTCGTATGGATTTAAACTGGCTGCCACGTATCCGAGACCCAAACGATTTCTTTCAACTGGAAATCCTCCTGCCCTATCCGAGAACGGAAGACCCGCCGAAATTTCACGGTGAAAAGATTTGTCTGGGTTTGCCCGGACCAAGCCAGTATACTGTGCAATCAGTAAGTATTCCGAGCCTGAGAGATGTAGCTTGAGTCCCATCGGCCCACATACATGCTGGCGCAGGAATTAACACATGAGAGAATGTTGGATGGAGGCAAAGAGTAATACCTCCGGACTTAGACCTTCCAAGATTACGTCGGACATGATCAGGCGATCGTCGGTAGGGGTTTCTCCCAAGAACTAAGTTTTGACGGACAATTCCGGTGATGTGGGGTGGGACGGCTGGGACATATATATATATTGAGCCTTTGGCATCATCCACACCTACGAGGTATCTCACATGAATCCGCACCGAGTTTGAGGATATGAGCGGAAACGTGGTCGGGGTGCTGTTCAAAACCCCGCAACTTGCTTCCGTTAATATTAAGACGTTGGCGGAGGATCGATTCAACCTGGTCTTGACCAATAAATACAACATTGCGCTTTGTACCGAACGTCAAGGGAGGGAAACAATGTTGAGAAGACGACGGACAAAAGGGCACGCAGGGGTCGGCTTGAAAGTGGGGGACATTGGCCACGTCTTCAGAGGTTTTGCTCCGTCGGCAAGTTCATAGCTTTGGAAAGGCACTGGTTCATGGGCCAAATTGAGGACCTCTGTCAGAATGTACAACATTTTGAAGACTTCTAGAGTTTAGGGCTTTCGAGACATTGTTGATGTATGAATGGTACTAACCATTATTCCGGCTCCCCACTGCCGACTCAATGGGATGGCTCATTCTCGATTATACGAACAGACAGTGAGACACGCCAGAAATTGCTCCACATAAGGCGAGAATAAGACCCGATGGCCTGAGTGACGAGTCCGCGCCCACCTAAACTCGTCCGGAGTAAAGTACCAGTTTACTATGATCAAGCAAATATCCGAGGCGTGTGCGCTTGTGGTTCCAAGAGAGCTGGGACGATGGATCACCAAGTTCCGCTAAAGTAACCGCAACCGTGGGAAAGCCCATTACGTCAGGAGATTTGTTGTTTCTCGCACTCATCCCAAATGACCTTCCAACAAGAACTCACCTCGTTTTGGCCTCCAAAAGACAAACCAACCGATCCTGTTCCTCAAATAGGTGCAAAGGCGCCTTCCTCAGAACTCTTGCCCATGCCCGCCGCCGACGGTCGCCCGACTGTCGTGACCTTCCTCCGGCACTGCGGCTGCCCATGTTCGTACATCCTCTCCGCGTCCACGTTCCAACCTGCATATTTTATCTAGTCAGCGAAAAGACATTCAAATCTCTACGCACGGCGGCTGCGGGTAGCCCAGATATCCGTTTCGTCGCAGTCTCACAAGGCGACCAGGGAACGACCGAGCGCTGGCTGGATGCAATCGGCGGCG